GAACTAAGGAGGTGATGACCCCTTCTCCAAAGTTTTTTAACTCTCATATAATTTATTATTTTGACCTCCCAAATTTAATGATTTTTTAATATATTTGCTTATATATTTATAATTTTCTCCTCTCACCTTTTAATCTTCTTTTTCCCTTTTATATTTATTTATTATTTATTAATAATATATTATTTGAAAAAAAAAAATCAATGGTCAAGATCATACTAAACTTGATTTTAGGTGGTTAACACTTCTTTAGACAATTTGTCAACTTTCATTATGTATTTAACATTTTCATTTAAACTATTATAAAGCTCAAGTGTTTTTATCTATGGTATTGCTTATGTAATCTATATTTTGTATACTTATTTTGGAAGAACATTTTTAATTATTATGAAATATTAAGCTAAGACAATACTATTGGATCATCTACTCATATTATTACTATCTAATGACACTTATAATTAGTAGATTTACTTATGATCAAACTAGACTCTTGTATTAACTAATAGTTCATTAAAAAACTTATAATTTATAGTCTCCTCATTTTAGAATTAATTTATAATTTCATTTGAAGAAGAAAGATATGTGAAATAACATTTATTGTGATAGAAGGAAATGAAAGTCATGTCTACAAAGTAAAGAAATATTATGACCTGAAAGAGGTTATAAGATACGTTTTAAGATTTATTCTTATTTTACACAACTTTGAGTGATTTTTTTAAGTATATTTTATATTTAAAATTTATTGATATGAAAGTATTCTTATTATTTAAATTTGATCAGAAACCATTAATGATAGGTGAAACATATATAGGAAGGCTATGATAAAAATGTTCTAAAAAAACAAAAGTAGTTTCTTCTTATCAATTATCTATTATATATTATTAAAAATAAAAATGTTCTAAGATAAAAAAAAAACTAGTTACTTCTTATCTATTGTCCTTTATATATTATAAAAATGTGTCAAAAAAATATTATTATTAAAAAATTTATCACTATATTAAAGTTTCATTTTTTTAAATGTTATACTTATATGAATCTTTATTTTATATAAAATAGTAAATGATTTGTTTTTATTTATTTCAATGAAGAAACACTACTAGAAAACTAGTTTTTTTCTGCTAATTTTTTTGCAAAAAATTGTTTAAATTTATAGAAAACTTATTTCTTGCAATTTTTACGAAAATTTTGTAAAAATATTCCCATGAAAAATGAGAATTTTTAGTAGTAAAGTGAGCATTTCATTAAAAAAATATATGTCATTTGTCATAATTAAAATTGTAGATTTTAGAGTTAAAAACCGTTATAAATAAAATTTGTAGCAATTAATATAACTCGTCATATTTGTAGATGTCAAAAACAATTTGTGAAAGAAATTTTTTAAATGCTGATATTTATGTTAAAAAGAAAAAAATTCCAACCGTTAAAAATTGTCACAAAATATATTATTATTCTCATTTTAATTTAACATTTGGTTGTAGTTTGAAATGATTACAAATGTTATTTTTATAATTATTTTTATATTTTAACAATTAAAAACCACTACAAAATATATAATATTTTATAATCATTTAAAACTTATTGGGAGGTTTAAGAAACCACCAAAAATTATTTAATTACTATTTTTAATTATTTTATCAATAAATCAAAATTTTAATTATTATTTACAAATTATTTTTTAATAATTTTATAATTAATAATTAAAATACTTTTTTATTTAGAATTACTTTAAAATATCATGATAAGTGTAATAATAATTTTATCATTATAATAAAATCAATATATATCAATCAACTAAACTATCTATATTAAAACAAAAAATAATGATATGGATAATATATTTTTCATTTGTCTTAATGACATAAAATATTAGTTTTAGTCTCACTAAAAAATAACTAAATTTGTAGTTTTTAGATATAATTCACTTTGATAAAGTGCTTAACTAAATATAATTTAATATCAACTAAGATATAATCAAATTTAATCTTAAAAGTCCAATAAAATTTATCACATTATTCATTAATAAAGTGTATCTAACAAGATATGATGTCAATAGATCCACAAATTTCACAACATATATGTCACACTTAATGAAAATTATTATCCAATGAGTATCCTCCTATATGATGTTGGCATATTTCATTCATTTTCTTCATCGTGTGAAATAAAAATCCTATAATCTTAATATAATTAAAAATATATATAAAAGATATTAAACTCCATAGAAGTAATTAACAATATAATTCTATTAACACAAAATATGAAATACTACATATAATGTCAAACTTTATGAAAATTATTATCTAAAGAATATCCTTCTTGTAGTGTTGACATATCTTGTCCACTCTCTTTATCCTATAAAATAAAAATCATATCATGTAAGCGGGTTAAAAATCCTAACATCCCATAAAAAATAAAAACAATAATTAATATCTTCTTCCAACAAAGTGAGTTAAACATAATAACAAACATTTACCTCTAAATTGGATACATCCAACGATAATAGACAGGTCCTCCTAGTTTCACTTTTTTAACAAGATGAAAAGTTAAATGAACCATCACAGTGAAACATGATGGAGGCAAAAGGATTTCCAAATGGCAAAGAGTAAGCACAATTCAATGTTGTAGTTTGTCAAGACCTGAGACATTCAGTCTTTTACAACATAATTCCTTGGAAAATGAGCAAAATTCTACCAACACTGCAATCACATGGTCAGATAAAACATTATGTATAGCTATTGGAAGTAAATGTTGCATAAGGATGTGACAATCATAACTCTTGAGTTCAAATATCCTAGAGTTTTCATCATCAATGCAACGAGATATGTTACTTGAGTAACCATATGGCATTTTACATTCTTTAATGTGGTGAGAAATATCTTTCTTTGATCTCTTGTCATTGTAAATAATAAAGGAATATATTTTCCATTTTCATCTAGCCAAAGATCTTCCTTTATCCTTACATCTTGTATATCTTAACGAGCTTGTAGATGATCTTTTGATTTTTCTTCTTTGAGCATAGTATATAACCCATTATCACACACATTCTTTTCAATATGCATAACATCAAGGTTATGTCGTAAATAATTATCCCTCCAATAAGGAAGATTGAAGAATATGTTTTTTTTCTTCCATTGGTTCCCTCTACTATTTGACTTAAGATTACTATCAAAGGTTATGATATCAAGTTGTTTCATGATTTCTAACCCAGATGATGATTTTGGTACTCCTCTTTCCTCATTTGTTCCATCAAAGTGTTTCTTCATCAATATAAATTTATGGCTCAATTCTAAAAATAGTCGATGACCCATGAAACACCATTTATTACTACATCTTAGCTGATAAGGTGTTGTATCAAAATTACAAGTTGGGTAAACATAACCAGTATAAGTATTCCACCCAGATAAAATATAAAGTCTAGGAAAATCACTAATTGTCCACATGAGAGCCACTCATATTATGAACACTTTTTTCAAAAAAGCATCATAAATTTCTGCACCTTCTGTCCATAACTCATTCAACTCTTTCACTAGAGGTTGTAAATACACATCTATCTTATTCCCTGACATCTTTTTTCCTGGGATGATCGTAGAAAGAATAAAAGAAGATTGTTTCATGCACTCCCAAGGAGGTCGATTGTAGGGAATTAGAATCACTAGCCATATACTATGCCTATTATTCATGGTTTGATATGGATTGAAGCCATTTGTTCCAAGGCCAAGACGAACATATCTAGATTCTAAAGCAAACTTAGAGTGAAGTTGATTAAAACTCTTCCATGCTTTAGCATCTCTTGGATGCCTCAATAGTCCATCTTGGTTATTGTTTAAAACATGTCATCTCATGGACTTCGCTGTTTTTGGACACATAAATAATCTTTACAGTCTTGGTTTCAAGGGGAAGTATCGTAAGACCTTTGTTGGTACTTTCTTTTTGCTACTAGTACCCTTTTCTTTCCATCTAGATTTCTTACAATATTTACAACTCTTCCAATTTTTCATCTTTTCCCCAATACAACATGCAATTTTTTTGGCAAACATCTATCTTGGTATAATTAAGACCAAGCTTATAAATCACCTTTTTTTCCTCATAAAATAAAGTAGGAAATGCATCTGCCAATAACTCTAAAATCATTGTCATAGCCTTATCAGTCATATCACACAAACATTTTATATGATACAACCTTAATAAAAAAGATAACTTCGAAAACTTTTTGTTCCCTTCATATAACTCTTGGTTACAATCTCTAAGTAGATCATCATACTCTTCACATTCTTCACTAGGCATGGTTTCTACAAATTCAACTTGTTCATCGCACATGTTAGACTCTACATCATGTTATCTATTCCTCCCAAATGCATCATTTGTCATATCTATCATTGGATTTCCATTTTGTAATGACACATTTACTACTTCATTGTCCCTTGATGCTATTGTTTCATATTTTTCCCCATGCCAAATCCAGACTTTATAATTTATCGGAAATTGCTTGCAAATCAAGTGGTCAAACACAACTTCTCTAGTTTCCCATTTGTCATAGTGGCATTTTGGACATGGACAAATTATTGCACTTGACAGATCGATTCTCAAATGCAAAATCTAAAAATCTATTCAGTCCATCCAAATATTCAATTGTATTCCATGGCATATCAATCCATGATGTATCCATTTTTATATATGTCCAGCAAAGTAAGAAAAACACAAGTTGCAAAATATT